ACATTCGAGTACTCGCATAAAACTGCGAGTGGATACTATCAATCGCAAACTACTTGCGTGTGCGTTTAATGAACTGACTTGTGTCATATGTGTTTAGTTTTTAATTTAAGACATATTTTTTTAATGGATACTCGTATTAGACTTACTAAAAACCTTGAAGATACGATTATACCATGGTTATATCACTGCAGGGACCTAATTCGTTCCAGAATAATAATTAATTGTATATTTTAAATGAACATAAGTTTGTGCAAACATTTAGAATTTCAAAGGAATTGTATCAATTTTTAATAAATACACTCTCTCCCTATATGAGACCTCAGATTAAATATAAATTAACATATTTTGGTTTCTGATTTTGTAGGTTTTAGTAGCTTTAGGGTTTTTTTGTCAGGAAGCTGTAACATGGACATTGGTAATAGTTTATTTGTATCAGTTTCCCGTGTATTAGTGTAGCGATGCCCTAAAGAAATCAGCAGTGCTTTAAATGAACCAGATTATTTTTAACAAATTTAACATTTTTCAAGAAATTTTAAAGAGCTAAATAGAGCGAAATATCAGTCGTCAATCCTGCCAGTTTTTAAAAAAATGTACAAGCAGTTTTTTAATTAATATTTTTATAGTGTTCGATATAAAATGTTTAAATGTAATCAATTATTCATGATTTTACGTATTGTAGATAGAATACATCGTATGTCGCAACCGTCAGATCTAGCAAACCTGCCCACTGGCAATTCATTCGTTTGGAATGCCTAATTGTAACGTTGCCAAAGTGAGAATGTAGAACCTTCGCAAGTAATTGCGAAGGGGTCTCAAGAATCTCATTTTAGGAAAGTATGCGTAAATGAACCCTTCGTAAGGTTGAGTATACGTGTATTTGCGAAGGATGTCAAGAATAGCGCTGCTGTATATCGGAAGAAGTTCTGAGTATAAACATTGAGTCAGTCGTTTCCAATTTTGAAATTATTTCCTTACTTAATACATGTTCAAAAATGGTAAGCGTTTTTTCACAATTTCAGTTACTCTATAATCCTCATAAATAATAAACAAGAACAACAATAAATTTTATTATTCATTCAGTACATTATATCACTGAATTTAAAAATCTTCTACAAAATTGGAAGAAGGCTCAGGTCCCTTAGCAACATTAAATTTAACGATTTTTCGAATTGCAGGAAAACACATTTGTACAACTTTACATACCTGCATTTTGAGCGCCAAAATACATCTAAAATACATCACGAACTCTAAAGGGTTTTCTTAATACCGAGATGTACTGTCGTGTCATATAACTGATGAAATACTTCCGAATACTTTAGTCTTTGGAATGACCAACTGTCTTCTGTTTTCGAAACCATCATCATTCTCTAGTAGTCGCAATAATAAGCCTTCTTTCAGGATAAAAGAGGCCCACTGAGTCAAATATGACTTAATTGCTGAAGAAAGATTTAATACTTCTTGCCAAGTAGGTCGACGATTTTCTTTTCCATTGTCGCATCTTTTTCAAAATGGGATCGTTCTCTTGTTCTTCCCTAAGTTTGGCAGGGGTCCACTCATCGTTGACTACAGTTGTTCTTAGTAGTCTTTGGATTCTGCTTAGTGTTGGGAATAATCGGATGATTCTTATAATCGGAATATTGGTATTCGAATGATTTTAATAATCGGAATAATATTCCGCTTTCCGATTATTTTAATTTATATGCTCTATATCGAGATTTAAGTTCAGTTTTTTGTTTTTTGGTTTTTGTTATTCCAGTGCGTTTATTGTAGGGGTTTTACACAATTTAAATTATATGCATTGGAGGATAATCATCAATATATTTTTCATCGGTCTTTAAATGTCGTGGGGGCATTACATAGTCCAAATGGCATGACATTGAATTGTCACATTCCAGATCCGGTGGTAAAAGCTGTCGTTTCTTTGTCTACTGGGTCCATTTCCACCTGCCAATATCTAGACTTCAAGTCTAAAATAGAAAATAGTTTAATTCCGGTCCAATGTGTCCAAGGTAGCGTCGATTCGAGACAGAGTATAACTGTTTTTCTTGGTAATATTGTTCGACGGTAGTCCAACAGAACCTCGTAGTGCCATCCTTTTTCTGGACAAGGACTACCGGAGAGACCCATGGGCTGGTAGAAGGTTCTATCATCCTGTTTTCCTCCATTTCACGAACAATCCTTTCAGCTCCCTCTCTCTTTGCTTTTGGTAATCTCCGAGCTAATTGATGAATTGGTCTGGCATCACCAGTGTAAATTTTATGTTTTACAACAGAAGTTCTTGTTCTTCCTCCTTTTGGTACAAAAATGTAACGATATTGTCGAATAAATTCCTTTATTTTCATTTTTTCTAATTGGCTCATATAGATTGACCTGCAACTGCAATCATTTGCACGAATTTGTCGTTGGAATTATCAGAAGTTGTTTGACGAATTATGAAAGTTACTGATACACAGGTTCCGATTCTGGTATTTTTCTTGATGGTAATTTGATGATCATTAACGTTTATAAGACGTACTGGAATCTCAGCAGTGTGACCAACCCCTTTACGATTAAAATTTCTTGTCCAACCTTTTCATCGAGGTTCCAAGGTTCCATCATGATAGGTGTTCCTTCTTCCATTGTTTTCTGCCAGGTACCACCGTATCCTCCTGTACAACAACTGGGACGGTACTGTCCCCACTTGGACTTTTGCAGTTTAGTGATAAAGTAAAAAAATCTGATGTGTCCAACACATGACTTTCCTATCTAGTTATTACAGGCTTTTTCCGGTTATTTTGTACAACCTATTGCAGCACCTCCATAAATGTTTAGAGGATAAAATAAATATATACATTTTCCACATACATCTACCTCGAAACATTTTTCTATATTCATTGAAAATGAAAATACTGAAAAATTTAAATTTAGCACTTTTCCTACAATTTTTCCATTACGGTCCATTTTAGAAAAATCATGTATAAACAAAAATTATAGAGATCGATATCGCAAACAACTTTTAAACTTTTATTTGAACAATTTTTTTCTCCAAACATAACAGATATATTCCATAAAATATAAAAACGGCCCCCTATAAAGTACCCCCCCAGATGTTCCGACTTTGTCCAAAATCTAATCATTTCACGTCAGGCCGAAATAAAACTTAAGTTTAAAATTTAATGTTTTTTTCTTTATCCGTTTTTGAGTTTTCTTCAAATTTCAAAATTTACACATTTTCTCAAATATCTCGAATACGGTCCATTTTAGAGAAATTATGTATAGGATAAAAATTATAGAGAATTATATTACAAACAACTTTTGTTTGAACAATTTTTATAAAAAAATATTTTTTTACATTTTGTCAAATTTCTCGAATACGGACCATTTTAGGAAAATTTTGTATAGAATAAAAATTTTAGATAATAATATAAGAAGTAACTTTTATTTGAAGAATTTTCTTCCCCAAACGTAAATAACAGATATATTCCATAAAATATAAAAATGACCACCCATAAAGTACTCCCCCAGATGTTCCGACACTGCCCAAAATCTAATCAGCACATTGGACGCAGGAACAAAGCTTAAGATTGAAATTTGGTGTTTTTCTGTGTATCGGTTCATGAGTTATGCGACACACACACAGACATCATCGCGAAAATAGTCAAAACGGATTCAGGGGACCTCAAAACGTAAAAATCCGTCGAAAACTCGAAGTCGAAAAAAATCATGATTCCTATACTTTCCTTATATCTGTATACAGATAGGAAAGTAAAAATAAAGGTATTAGCGTCGCGCGGCAACTTTCTGTCTCCACTACCAAAGTGGTACTTTTTGCTCTTAATACACAAATAGCTATTTTGTTATAATTATTTTATAAACTTTTACTTAGCTACTACTGATAAAGTGTTATTGCCCTTATCATAAATTAAGTCAAAAATTTCTCATAATTTTTCATCTTTTAAATGTTATCAAAATTAGGTACCACAGTAATACAAATATTAAAATCCGGCCCAGAATGTCTCCCTACTCCTTTCACCCAGTTTTTAGATTTTGGCAAAATTCGCGCAGCGGCAAATGCTTTCTACCCCACAGCCCGCTTTTAACCTCTTTGATTTCTTCCATCTACAAGAACAGGTCAGGATTATTTTATTGACGCATGCGTAGTACGCGCTTTTTATTTATTTTTATGATGGTGTCCGACTTTCTGAGAACTATGGTTTCGTGTATTGTTTGGGCATATTATTTCAGACTTTTCAAGATATTTTAAATAGGTACTATTTTCATTTGTGGCGTTTTAGTACTTTAATTTTTATGGACACTCCATGTGGTGTCTTTAGAAAAATCACACCTACACTTATCAAGATGAAAATTTGATAAAAATCTTGTTAATTACATGAAAAAGAAGAATTGATACAATTCTGTTTGTCTTTTAAACGTTGTTACAATAATTAGTCATGGGCCACTTGGAAAAGTTCACAGACAAGTTCGACGGGCTAGTCTGAAAAGTTGCCTTGTCCAAACACATTGGAAAAGTGTATTGTATATTTTAATTAGTTTGACAGAATTTCTTACAAAAAAACTGCAAAATATAGTTTAAAAAAGAAGAAACGACAAATTACTACTAATTTTTATATGTTTTAACGGTGTTTTAGAATTTTCGTTTTATATAATAAAATAAAAACGTGAAAAATAACCAAAAAATATGAAGTATTTTACAAATGATTTGCCTAAAAAACGAAAACAAATCAATATATTGTTCCCAAAGTGTTTTCGAAAATGCATCCAAGTTGAAGAATCATTTAACTGTGTATCTTCTATGCCCAAGGTCGACTACTTTTCCGGACTAGTCCAAAAATTACTTTTCATGAAAAGTCCCATCCATCACTAGATAATTAATTCAGAACAGTCTTAGATTTTATTTATTTCTGCAGATATTCTAAACAGTTTTGTATTTTTTTTTTAATGCAAATAAACCTTATATTTATGGTCGTGGATGTGTATAGAGTGGATAATGTTTTATAAAAATAACAAGATTAATTTTAAGCAATTTATTTCTTTTGACCCTTCAAAAATTCGTATACAACTGCGAAATCTTTATCTCCGTAACCATTTAAAATGAGAGCTCTATATATCTGATGGGCCAGCGCTCCTAACATCAAGGGTGTTCCACAACTCAATGCTGCTGCTTCTGCCAATCCTAAATCCTTGGCTATTAACGGTACGCTGAAACCACCTTCGTATCTGAAATGGAAATTGTTCGTAAGAGCAAAAAATACTTGTTTGTTCGAAAGTGTCAAAAAATTTAGTTTTTTGGACGGAAAACAATTGAAAAGTAGAACTTTTCTATATATTTCAAATTAGCTGCTGTAATAGTAGTTTGAGAAATAAGAATGGCTATGATAGCCATATCGCAAGAAGACAATTCTTCGTCTTGAGTTTATGACCGGTTTCGTCCTAGTTGAGGCACCATCATGGAACGGTTTTGCATTTCCTAATTGTTTAGTAAAGTTAAATAAAGCTGTTCCCCTTCCGTTCTTTTCGTACATTACGATAAGTGCTAGTTTTTATTTAATAATTTTTTCACTAATTAATAAAAATAATTGTATTACCCTTTGGATGGTGGTACGTTGGGCATAACTCCAGGTACGGGATTGTATGTGTCTGAAGACCACGATCTTCCGGTTGAAACGTTGATTATGTTGGTTAATAATTTGGGATCTAAACCCAATTTGATTCCTAAATTCATTGCTTCACAAGTACCAATCATGGTGATTCCTAACAAAAAAAAAAACATTTTTCATATTTAATGAGCTAAATATTTTCTGGGTGTAAGACCCAGCTGCTGATATATTTAGGACCTATGGCCTATCTATAATTTACGCAGAAGTGTAACCAGGACTATGTTTTCCTTTATGCTAAAATAAATATTGGACTCTTTGAAAATAACAAATCATAGGTTTATAGGTATCAACAATATCAACAAAATCTTCAGGAAAAATCAAGCTCTATTGATTTTGAAAAAATTGTATAATATTGGGGGTTAAGGTGGTGGGTTGAAATTAACACTTTCGCTGCCCATGACGTTCATTAACGTCATGATAGTTCTTTCCCCCCATGCCCATGACGTTTTGTAACGTCATTTAAAGGTGCATGCTTCGATGAATGCAGACAAGCCGCTATGCAGTGAATTGTCTTTATAACCCCGTAGGCATTGAAATTGTTCTTAAATTAGTGCATTATGAATTTGGTTTTGATATTATGTTTGTGAATTTAACACAGCAATGCTTTAACATGTTTGAATTAAATGATGAACCTAATTCCTCGATATTTCAATTTATGGCATAGACACGCAAACAAGTCTTTAATAAAAGTTGAATTTGAAATACACATAATATAAAAATATTTTGGGATATACAGTATGTTACGCTTTTGCTTGGAAAGTAAAAATATATATTTGTATTTTATCTCAGTTTTAAAATTCTTAGGGAATACTGTATTAAACCATAGAATATTTTTAAAAAGTATTACAGGTTTGCTAAGCAATTAATTTTTTGATATAAAATGATATGGTCTCCCAAATAAAATTATCAGAATTTAAGTAGCTTATCAATGAGTTGAACATTATTTAAAATACAGGCTTATAAGATACCAAACTAATGAATAGACATGATAGAACTAGTTTCTTTTATACAGAAGGTTTTGAAACATCTCATAAATATGGCTCATTATAACTTCATTTTACCCAATTTAAATGCAACACCCTATATATAATTTTAGCATTCATTATAAATTTACCTATCTAACGATATTATGTTAGCCTACTATACATATACAGGGTGTCTCATCAGTGCGTAATTGATCGATAGCTGTTTTATTATTAAAGATACGAAGACATTTTTAAGTTGTACGACCAGATTTTAAAATTATTCCTAAGTATACAGAAAAGTTCATAAATGAGTGGTGGAAAGACTTATACTGTTTTAAAATAAACCCCTTGTATACCAAATTTATTTGTTCTCACATCGTCAAACAATTTTAATAGACAACGTTTCTAAAAATGTTTTCGACTTGGGTGTGTCAAAACGCAAGATTGCGATTTTTTTTTAAATGAAATATCCTGTATGTTACACCACAAATATAATTAACTAATAATTTAGTTTCTTTACTTTTTATTTTGTTTGGCATTCTTGAGCCTAAATGATTTTTAAATTTTATTTAGAATGGTTCATATTAGTTGAACGTCGAAGGAATAGAAAACCATTAATTAATTCTGACAAATGGGTTACCAAAAATTACATTAGCATTTTACCCAAAATAAGTCCATATTTTCAAAGGCCAATTAGAAAAATGTGCCGTCAAAAAGAAAAAATTCGTTTGGGAATGCCAAACAAAATAAAAAAAGTAAAGAAACTAATTTATAAATTGGTGGTATAACATTGGTATAAAATTGAGAATATTGTAACCTCAAGTTTTGACACGCTGTATGCATCACAGCAAATAAAAGAAAATGTTAAACATTTTTAGGAACGTTTAGTCTATTAAAATTACAATATTTCATATTTATTTATTGTATCTTTACAAGTTTAAAATTATTATCATTTCTAATAATATTATAAAACTTACAGACTAGTCCCAATAAAAATTATAGTAAAAAAATTAAAATTTAACATCCACACCTCCATGCACACCTAGACACAATCTACCTACTTCCATCCACCTATTTATCCATGTAACATTACAACAGAACAGATTTAAAATTTGTTATAAAAATTAAGTAAGGAATTTAATTACAATAAAATTTTCAAGTTTAAGTTGTATTATTTACTCCTGGTATGGCATCCAAAAATTCTCCAACTGAGTAGAATGCATTCTCGATTAGGTACTTTCTTAATTTATCTTTAAATATATTATATTTGCAGTTACCTATTATCTTGGTTGAGTGATTATAACAAATAATGCCTTGGTAATTCCCCGTGTTCTGTCCAATACCTAATCGCGAATATGGCGTTCGAAATTCATTCGCCCCACGTGTATTATATTGATGTATCATATTACTTCTTACATATTTCGATTCATTTGCTTTTATATTCAGGGTTATTAAATATATATATAGACATGGCAATGTTAGTACTGACAAATATTTAAAGGCATTTTTACAGTGTGCTCCATAGGGCAGACCTGCAATACATCTTACTATCTTCTTTTGCATTATGAAAACTATTCCCATATGAGAGGAGTTACCCCAGAATGACAGACCATATGATAATGTAGATTGTACTAGACCATAATAGGCTAGCCTAAGTATTGGTAAGCTTGCGGTGTTATATAATTGCCTGAAGATGAAACACATTGAGCTTAACTTTGATACAATATAGTTAATGTGAGCCTCCCATGTAAATTTATGATCCACAATTACTCCTAAATATTTAAGCTGGTTCACTTGTTCAATGGATTTGTTGTTAAGTCTTATCAACATGGAGTAATCATGTTTAACATTCTTAGGCAGAAATGTCATGAATACTGTTTTGCCTACATTGACCCAAAGCCCATTTGCTCTGCACCAGTCTGCAAACTCCATTGTTGCCTTGGCTGCGGCTTCTCGTGCCATGTGTATATTTTGTTTTGCCATTATTTCGCTTGTGTCATCTGCATATATAACTGTTGTTTCAGGTGTATTACATGTATGAACTATGTCACTCATAAATATTATAAATAGCAGAGGTGCCAGTGTCGAGCCTTGTGGTACCCCCATCGGTACCCTCACAGGGTGAGACTTTACTGAGTCAATACAAACCACTTGGTATTTGTTTTGTAAATAAGACTCTACCCAATTACCTGATACTCCTCTAACCCCTATTCTGTTCAATTTTTCCACCAATAGCCGATGGTCCACTGTATCGAATGCTCGTGTCAAGTCGAAGAAGATGGCAATCGTGTGCTTCTTGTTATTCAGCTCTTCTATTAGTTTACTACAAAGTTCCTCTATTGCTGTATTTGTAGATTTCTTAGGCCTAAATCCATGTTGGCAGTTTGGTATTAGATTATACTTTTGAATGAAATTTTCGAGTCTAACATAGAAGCTGTAATCAATTATTTTTGCAATTTGTGACTGAAGACACACGTTTCTGTAATTGCATTCGTTTTGTTGTGAACGATGTGAAAACAACCAAATATGTAAGCCGTAACTACCTACAGGATGTTTGGTTTAAAAAACTATCTGTTTGGTTTTCCCCTTATTTATAGATTACCATGCATTTTTAAGAATAATTGTAAAATATGGTCTTACAACTTTTATATTAAACATTTCTTCATATCTCCAATAATAAAATATCTGTCAATCAATTATACCCACTGATGGGGCACCCTGTATATGTATAATTAAAACACAGCTTGGTCCTTATAAGTTGAAAAATATTCTAGTAATAAATACAGTATTACCAAGCCACTCTAAAACTGAAATACAATTCAGGGTGTTCCATTTAAAAACATGTTTTTACTTTCCAGGCAAAAGCGTAACACCTTGTATATCCAGAAATGTTTTTAAATTATATATTTTTTTAAATCCACATAACTTTTATTCAAAACATGTGTCTATAATACAAATTGAAATATCAAGCAATTATGGCACTAATATGGGACACCCCGTATAGAATTACGACGAGAGTTTACGTCTTTTTTCATCCTTTCAGTCTTACTTTTAAACTAGGTACTCTTGATTGTTTTTAACTCCCCGCCATAAATGGCCCAGCCTTCCCTACAAGATTTTGACATGGTGGCTGCACCTTCATTGGCTAATTTGGATACCCTACTTCTTTCGATTTATTAATTCGTCATTAATTCCACTCCCTAGATAGGCTTCCGAGAACTTATCTCGGGTCAACCAACTTGATCGATAAATGAATTTATAGGTAGAACGTCAGCCAGCGGTCCGGTAATATACTTTTTTGATATCAGTACTTGACATAGAGGTCTATATTCTTTTCTCTTTTTGTTTTAACTTCTGTCTATATTTATTCCCCAGAATACATTTTTAGATTTTCATTGTGTATGCGGCCCATGACGTTAATGAACGTTCAAACTTCTAAATGTTCGTATACCGATGGGCCAGAGCGTGTAGTTGGCATTAAAGCCGAGAATACCGATCAAGGAGAAGCGACAGCTTGGTGTTTTCAGTGTACCGTTTTGTAACGCGCATGTGCGAAAGTGTATCACTCAAAATTATGTTATCTGTCAAAGTCAGTCCAAGTTGTGTTTAGTACGTGAGCAATGTTAAGTGATATTTTTTGGTGTTTGTTTTGTGTAGTAACAAGATGAAGATTTTTACACACTTAGGTATTCTAATACAGATATAAAATGTGCCAAAAAAGTTATTAGGAAACTAAGAATTGTATCACATGCATAAATATTAAGTATAATGATTTAATCATTTTTGACATTTTATTTTTCATATGTAGGTATTGTATTTTGTGAAATATATGTTTTTCTTCTTATAAATAAATTTAATAAACAATGAACTGCAGATTTTGTTTGTTTTATTTTGAAATTATATTTAAAAAAATATAATGAATTCGCGTGTTTCAATTAGGATTGGCCAAAGTTGGCGAAATCCCTTTATTATGGCTAAATTGCAAGTTACAATTATGTCAATATAAAGATGTTTTGCCCATTCATATTTACACTTATTGAATGAATCATACTGGAGTTGATTTTGGAAATATTGGTGCATAGGTACTTTAAGTACTATTTCTAAAAATTCGTCTATGCACACAGTCCAATGGACGTCCACTTTAGATCTATTTAAGGGTCAGGACGTCCATATCCGGGCATCCAGTGTACGTCCGTTTATGCTAATTAAATTGACAGCTGAATATCGATATCCAGAGAACGTCTCTTTTTGGACTTAATTTTAAGTTTAGTAGTATTTTGACGTCCATCTTAGGTCATTATTTATTAAGCCTACCAAATAATACCCATTATATATACTTCTTTTTTTTAATATAACTGGTCATTGAAAATTGACAAATTAAATCTATTGCATTTCATTCTATCAGCGGAAGTTTGAAATCATATTCAATTATAACTGTATCTAGAAAAAAGTTTTCAAGTGGTTCCTTGGTCGAGCTCGTCTAGCGATTGAAAGCGTAAAACGATAATGGATGTGTCGTGAGTTCGATTCCTGCTCAGGTCAAGCAATTTTTAATAAAAAATAAATAAATGGTGTATAGCGGTTTGCGAAAATAATAAACAAATTATTAATAATATAAAATAGTGTTTGGTGAGTTGCGGTTTTGTAAAACAAAATGGGGATGTGGTCTCAATGGAAATATAATCCTGGTCGTTTTTTGAATGTCCAGTATTCGACGTCCAAATATATTCCAGAATTGGACATCCTCTGAATGGTCAAAAGTATGCCATTTGTATACTTCACTGGACGTCCATTGGATGTCGGAAGTCCAGAAAACTCATTTTTGGACGTCTAGACATCCAAAATTGTATATCGAATGGACGTCCAATGTATTGCCTGGGTGATAGCCAGACCAAGTATTTAACTCTAAATACATAAACCTTAAATGACATCTCGTTTAACTTGGCGAGAAAACATTTGTTTCTACAGAAATGAGTGATAAACTTGAAAGTCCTTTTAATATAATATAAATCTAGAAATTCTAAAAATATGTAAGTACTTTTTAAACCTAAAAGCTTTGAAAATATATGTACATTGCAAATATTTAGTTAAACCTCTCAAATTTAATGTCTTTTTAATTGTTACCTAATTTTTTTTTGGCACCCTTAATTTTATTTACCTTATTTTTACTTAAGGAAAAGGTAATTTAATTTAAATATGGGGCTTTTATTACATTTTTAACAATAAATAAACCAAATATTGAACAAATTTTATAGATAAATTATAAAATAAGAAACGTCTTTTACTTTTATAACAAATAATTAATTATTACATAATGAATTATATTTTGGTGCCGAAATTTCACCATTGCTATTAACCCTAACTACTTCAATGTAATTAAATCACATTGCAACATTTGCGCATGGACTATAACAATAATTTCAGATAATTTGCCAAACTATTTCGCTCAGTGTAGAAAATAAGCATGTTTTCTCAGCGTGCTAAGTTGTGTATCAATCAAAGTCATGCTGTGAAAAAGGTACATCCGATATCAAAGGCACCGACAGCTACTGTCGCTTCTCCTTGATCGGTATTCTCGGATTAAAGCTTGGGCAGCGAAAGTATTAAAAAAAACAAATTAAAAACTAAAAGCCTAACAATTCTGAAAAAAAAAATTTAAAAATGGGGGTTAAGAGGGGTCTGTTAAACTGTGAAGCGTAATAATAATATATAGATAATGCCAAGCATTATACATCTTCATTCTAGCTTGTAATTATTATTGTTTTTGCGACCCCTATTGTCTCTGTATCCGAGCCACGTGTTAGAGAAGGCGAAGGCCGGCACTGGATGATTATTTGTTGTGAAAATTATTTTTATATTCACCGGTATTTGTTGTTTAAAAAATAAAATTTTTTATTTACACGCTCACGCCGATACTCTCAGCATTGTAACGCTAGTAATTCTATTTCCAGACGGCCTTCCAAGTATATCAAGTTATCGCAGGCTTAATAAAATATTTTATTCTGTACCAAAAAAAAATAAAAGAAACACGAAAATTGTAAGTTTTTAAGTACCAGAGGAGTAAAATAGTGTTTTTAGGCGTCTGTCATACAAATGACATTTTACGGATTTATTAACATATCTAAAGTGTCACCTTTTGGCCGCATTTACTTTTCGGCCACATTTACTTTCCGTCCGCTTTTTATGAACTGGCTTACCATACTTATCGTTAGTAATTCTGTACACAATTTATTAGTTAATGATGGATATTTATTCCATCTAAAAATTTGAAACAATTCTTGCATTTAAGCCTCTTTTTAAAAACAAGAATGTAAAAAAAATATTGGCTCTACTTGATGAGACAGTCGCCTAAAAAATGTTGTGTGCACCTAGGCCGTATGATATTTTTTTGACCTAACCAGAAGTTGCTTGACATCGGCCGCAAATTTCTGATTTGGCCAAAAAAGATCAACTTTACCTTCTTGGTACATAAATAACTATTCTTAAAGTTGTACATAATTGGTAGGCCGCGATTTTTTGACACATTTAACACTATCCTCTGCAATTTTATCAAGAGTTAAATCTAATTATTTGTAGGGCATGAATTCAAAGTTACAACTTGCTAGGCAGAACCCAATAATCTGTTAGATTTGTGGATTCAGTTTTATCTGTTATTGTCTCCTCAGTTATCCCACGAAGCTCACATAAAAGTCCATTTCTTGTTCTATTTGTAAACAGTATTGTTGAGGCAAGTCTAGCGTTTGATTGCCCAATTATCTAATCTAAAGTTATGTGTCATTATACTCGTAACCGATATAAGTACATCATAATATGTACCTATCTGTTTAGGTTTAGATTACAATTATTCATTATTTATCTAAACTGTTCACGTGGTACAAATTTGATGTTTATATAGTTGGTTAGATTTATGATGTTTTATACTTTATACAACTAAATATTAATCCTAGAACATGGAATTTTTAGTAGAGCTATCACTATACTACCATTCTCAAAAATGTATTAGAATATTTGGCTAAATATTATGCATTAAAAAAAACATACCCAGAATGAGATTATTGCACAGTTTGGCTATTTGTCCAGCACCTATATCTCCACATTTGAATATTTTACCACCCATTTTGCTCAAGACAGGCTCAGCTTCTTTCATGTCGCTATCTGCACCACCAACCATGAATGTTAAAGTACCATCTTCTGCACCAGTTACGCCACCAGATACTGGAGCGTCAATATACCGTACGTCATTTTCTTTCGAAATACGCGACAGTTCTTGAGCCATTTTTGGTTCTATGGTCGAGCAGTCGATGAAAAGAGATTTTTTTGGAATGCCTGGAATATTATTTTAACTTATAATTTTGTATTATACATCTAGGTGTGTTTATAAACTATTTACCTTTCAAAATTCCTTTGTCCGCTAACAGAGTCTCTTTAACAATATCACCAGTGGGCAACATAGTGATAACGATGTTAGCATCTTTAGCTGCTTCTCCTGCGGACTTACATACTTTGGCACCAGGAACACTACTAGCTGCTAATGGGATGGTATCAAAGACTTTCACTTCTTGGCCCTTCTTCAATAAGTTTTTTACCATCCTGGCACCCATTTGGCCGATTCCGATGAATGCCACATTGCTGGCATTTCTAGCTGGAAAATAATAAAATAATTTAAATTGGTAACGCTGACAATTAATGAAAAATTTACATGGTTTGTTGACAAAATCTGCAATTGACAGTCCTAGATTTATCAGAAATGAGAAAGAACTCTTCAAAAGAATTTAAATTTATTACAAAAACATTTTAATACGTTTTTATACATTTTTTCAAAAACCATAATATATTTAAATATATACTTTAAAATTTATTATTGTTTAAAATTTTGAAAGAAATAATAACAACTGATTTCATAACAACATAATTAGGAAAATATTAAATACGCAAGCTGATATTGCATATGTAATTCGATCAGAATTACTATGATGAAACGGTTTTTTAATAAAAATATATTATCAATTATTACGTCAATAAAATTAATGAATATAAATAAAATTGACTTTGTAATAATTATCTATTTAATATTTGTTATTTTAGAAAAACTAGTCCAACATCCCTTCAAACAGCGGTTCCCAAAATGAGTCCCGCGGAAACTATAGCATTCCGTGGAAGGATTATCACATGGTCCCGCAAAGAAATAATTTTAATATAAAATAATTACATTTTCATATCGTTGGTAGGTATAAACACATCCCCAACTAGCCATTCATAAAAGTGCATTTGTTGTGAAGTCCTCATCATCGTCTATTGTATAGTCCAGGAGACAGTAACGATTTTCGGTATTTATTTTCCCAGTCAGCAAATACGGATAGAGAATTGTAGAATATATATATATTGTAATGTTATAGTTTGTTTTTAATAACACTACACTTTAAAAAAAACTACTTTATTATTATTTACCTTGGCTAGCCCGTATATTATGTCACTAGAGCGGATTGTCTTGCTCCCAGGGGTGGTTCATGTAAGTCAAACAATAATTTAAAAATAAATTTAGAAATATTTAATTTTGCCAACTCACTATTAAAAAGAAAAATAGGACCTTCCTGTATAATTAAGTAAACAAATTGACAATTTTTTTTTTAAATCAAATCTTTCAAATATATCTTTATTTGTCAAACACAATGTAACATTAGAAACAGTTTCAAAATTGCTTACCTATATCTACTAATTTATAATAACTACTATCCTTTCATACCTCACATTCACACCTTATTAGAAAAAAATAATCTAAAATTAAATACAGAAAAAATACCGTACTAGTATTTACAGTTCTATACTTTTCAAATTTAAATTAAATTAAGCTATACAAATTTCGAAATTATTTTACTACTTTGTTCTGTTCAAGCAGTTGTTCCGTTTTCACAAATATTAAAAAGTACTCACAGTCGGAAAACTTCAGTCCAATGAGTATGCTAATATTTGCATACTGAAAATCGATGCTCTGCTACTGCTGCCACAAGGTACTGAACCACATTTCTGTTTAGCTCCGCACAAATTTATAAAATGAGACCTATACTCATGATTGGTACTACCATATACAAAATCCTATGAAATTTGCTTACTTAATATAATATTTTGGAGAATAAATTAAATCTGAGTGACAAGGTTTCCCAAATTTGTATCTGACACAAATCAAAAATTTTCTAATTTCTTTGTCATTCATCTTTGACATTTCTTTTTAACTAAAACTTGTTATATAGGGTGTTATTTTACTATTTACTCATATCTTTGGCAAATTAACAGATTTTTCACATATTAATATTATAATGATTATTATTATTATAAAATAAAGCTTTTTATGCAGAGTTTTTTGCATATATATATATATATATATATATATATATATATATATATATATATATATATATATATATATATATATATATATATATATATATATATATATATATATATATATATATATATATATATATATATATATATATATATATATATATATATATATATATATATATATATATATTGGTTTTGATCTTTTGCGCTTTTAGAGTATTTGTCTTTTATCGTTATAGTTTTTAATTTGAATTTTAATATTGTGGTCTATTTATATTTGATTGCTGCTTTTCGACTAGTGCTTTATTCTTTTTGTTAAGTATTCTCCTTGTTGGGGATAGGTATGAGTCTACGAATATTTAGAATTATATTTTGTAAACTTAATTTTTAAATTGTTTAATTATTACATTACCATCTCGTTATCGCATATAATTACATTGTTAAACTACCTAATTTGATTCATTACTTTAAAGGTCATTACCGGCGATTGTATTTTTGACAGAACCGGATTAGCATTTTTTATATTGTAATATTAATTCATAGTTTTTTGTATAAGTAGATAAAATCTCACACATTTGCCTAAATAAAGGAATTATCTAATCTGTATAAGCACAAGGAGAAAAATATACAGGATGTCACAAAAAGTCTTAGTATGAGCTATCTTGTTAGAAACTACTCAAATGAAAAAAAAAAAAAATTAATTACCAGAAATTGAATGTCAGAAGTTAATATTTCGACATTAAATTTATTTTAAAATAACAATTTTAGGGGATGGCGATAGAGAGCTCGCCCATAGGCATAGGCGACCAATATTACTTTCCTGTATTGTTAGTAACATGCGCATCATTTTATTGACAAATATAATAGTAGTTTGTGAAACAAGAGTGGACAATCCACTCGAGTTGTACAGAATACTTTTCTACGACCCACTAACAAAAATTTGCAAATAAAAAATTATTTAGGTTATTAAGATAAAATAACTAATTTTAAAATAATTTATGACTTTTAATAATTTTTAAAATAAAATAAACGAAAAAAAAAGTTCATTTTATTTTTCTCCATCCGAATATTGAACTCGAGTCTTCCGTGTGGAAAGCAAGAACGCTGATGAAAGGACCACCTATTCTTTTATTTTTGTTGATTTAATTAAATTGACTCCATATATTTATTTAAATTAACAACTTATTCATAATTATAGACGAAATAAAAATAGAAATGCTATTATTTATCGATTCTACACAAGACTAACCCATTTTTGTATGTTTAGTCTCAATAACTAAAAAATATACTGACAATTAGTTTGGCAGAATTGTCACTTATTTAAAATTTTAAAAATAATAGCAGTCGGGTGATCAAAATATGAACGGTGATTGGTGCATTTCATTTTTTTGCAGTGTTCTCACTACGTAGAATGGATATGAAATATATTCGTTCAGTTGAAGGCAATAGCATACTTTTTCGTTTTGTAATCTGGGCGTAGATAACCTAATATCCATGTGGATGTACAACAACCTAATTATTTATTCTTGTAGTGTTTACATTGCTTATAAAAAATTTTCAGTTTTCAAAAAAGTGGATTATTTTGTCGTGTATTGGGTTTTAATTATTTTGTGCTGATTTAGAATGGAAAATAAAGACCCAAACATTATTACTAGTCTGTAAGTTTAACCAAATTCTATTTTTATAAGCAGTGGCGCATCGTAACTTGTGTAATAGGGAAGGCTGAGTATAAGGGCACCAAAAAATCAATAGCAAAAATAATTTAAACTTAAGCGGCTGAAGTTACTATTGCAGAAAAAATATTTTTATTACCCACTCTGGACTCTGGATACTGAAAATAAAACTAAAAAATATGCAAATTCATACAACAAACCAAACATAAAAATAAAACAAAGCCATGTGTGCACGCCTTGACGTGTTAGCTGCCAGCGTCAATCAACATCAACGTCACACGAGCGCACGCTTTATTAATATTTTCGATATATCGAAAAGATTATATCGATATTTTTTTTCGATAAATCGATAGTAAAATATTAATTAAAATATATCAATATAATTGTGAAATATATCGATATTTACAAAACATCGATGCGCTGTGGGCTGCTGGTACTACGCCGATATAATAATTATAGTGCGCATTTATTATGATAGATAAAAACTGTATTATTCGTATTATACAGGTTCGGCTTGTCCGAAGCTATATAATTGTTCGCTCACAAACTTTATTATTGCATTTATTTGTTTGACTCTTTTATTGTTAATAAATTTAGGAAGAGTTAAATAAAATTAAGTACCTATATGTAAATCCTAATTTGTAGATGACTCTTGCTAGTTCGCAGGGAGGGCGGCGCTCCAGCGCCCTCCCCCACCAGCCGCCACTGTTTATAAGTCACCCTGCTCTTCTTTGATATAATCTTTCAATAATAATGTATATAATTAATTTTAAATCAAAAAAGGGTTTATTTTTGTTTGTTTTCTTTTCGCAACTGGTAACATAATGAATTTTTCATAATCAATTTCATAACGTTCAACATTATGCCACTGGTTGCGTAAAGCAAATAATTTTGACACTTGCTTCGATTATAAAAAAATGTCCCTTTATATGTCAAAATTAGAAAAATATTGTTGGTTTGTTAATTTAAATAGATTATAAAGTAACTTAAATAGTTGACAAAATGAAAAATAAAAAAGCCTTTATCAGATATATGTATGATTTCTTCTCGTAAAGTGTCTGTCACTAAAAATTAATCTGGAAAGTGTGCAAATTAAAGCGGGATGGGGAACGAAATTTTCGGACTTTTTTCAGTTTTGGCTCAATAACTCTGTGAAGGAAGGGTCTGACCGGTATAGTCATTCTACATACTTTTAAAGAAGACTAAATTTGCTACAATTTGACACGTGCATCTGCGTGACCGCGTAACCGCGCGGATGACAATGCCAGTGCATTCCTACATAAATTAACATCCGCGCGAGCGCCATCCGCCGCGATTCACGGCTCTTGCGTTATGTATGTAGAGTGACCATGGAGGAAAGATTATTAAGAGTGACTATACTGGTCAGGCCCTTCCTTCACTAGCTTCACTGAGATATTGAGCAAAAACTAAAAAAAGTCCGAAACTTTCATGGTCTTTTGGATACAATGCCGCTCGCACAGCACTTTTGAAATTGCAAATCTGGCTTTTTAATATTGGTTCAGGTCCTAACATAGGTATAAGAAACTCAGAACGACCGGACCTTTTGCAAGCACGGATGTACATCTTGATTGGCCTACTGTAATAAGAATAGAATAAAAAAATATCCATATTCTCAAATGTGGTCATTTTTGAAGAAAGGATGAGATAAAAGATATATTTTTTTATTAATATTCCTTTTGCCAAAACATAGGTATATGTAGTCTGCAAATTCAAAATACTATAATAAAGCACTTTATTCAAAAATTTGCAATATTTACTTTTAAATGCGTAACTTAACTACATATCTATTATAATAGTTAAAAATCTTAAATATCATTGCGACTAAATATTGTAAGTCGAAAAAATATGCACTTTCGCTAAAGATAAAATGTTATGCTTGTTAATATTTAGATACTACATTTTTTAATTATCATAAGTAGGTATTAAAAGTAGAAAGAAAACTTACTTTGAAATGTCCTTACAAAGAATTTAGCTGATCCTAACACCATGGTTTTGGAGATTAAAATATTAAAATACCGACTCGCTAGTATTTACACAGTAAACTGATAAACAAAAATTTTGTAACTCTCGTATTTTATGATAATCAAAATCCATTTATAATTATTGTTGTAAATGACCTTCCAGGAATTGATAAATTGGTTGCCTACTCTCAGTTACCTACTGAACTAAAGAAATACCTATTTATAAGTTAGAAGTCAAGTTGCTCGTGTTGCCTCTGGTTTGACCAGTTTTAAAATACCTCTAGAATATCTAGTTTAACAACAGAGTCGGATTTGCCTTCTCCATCATTATTTTTTGGATATTTTGATTTTTTTATTACTTAGTACTTAGGTATCAAAATGAGTGCTATTATATTCTAAAAAGTTTACTTCATATACAGGGTGTCCCGAAATTGGACGGTTATATTTTAACAGCGTAATCTACATCCTAAAAAATTGGAGTTAAAAGTACATATAAACATAGGTCCGAAAACGTTTCGTTTTCGAGATACAGGTTGTTAAAGTGAAGACCTGATGCCACATTTTTGTAAATATTTTCTAAAATTTCTTTAGTCACCGATTTGCTAAAGTTAAAAATAAAATAAAATTTCCGTTTCCACAGGCCTACTAATTATTGTTTACACTTTCGAATAAGATAACATCAACTTATCATGAAATTTTCAAATGCTTTTCTCTTGAAAATAGTGCGTCCTAGCGAGATGCAACGAAAGTGTCTTTATTATAAAGAAAACATTGGTTTTCAAAATTTTATAGTCAACAATGTTAAAAACTGTCAATAAAAAAAACTTAGGGCAATTTTACCCTAATCCCCCCTAATTTACCCACCTATGAAGACGATCAAAAACTGGGGTTTAGTCCATTAAATAAACCGTAAAAAGGTAAGAATGTGTACCAAATTTCACTTAGTTATCTTTAAACGTTTAGAAAATATTTACAAAAGTGTGTCATCAGGACTTCACTTTTAACACCCTGTATCTCAGAAAAGAAACGTTTTCGGACCTATGAACTTTTACTCCTATTTTAGGATGTAGATTACGCTGTTAAAATATGACCGTCTAATTTCGGGACACCCTGTATCCATTTTTTTGTGATGCCTTTTGATATTTTTTATTATTGGCTGGAAAATATACAGGGTATCTTATTAAAAATGGGACACAGAACAACTGTAAATAAAAATAAGACGACTATATAAACGAAACATGCTTCGATAAAATATTACTGGTTTCCAAAATACAGGGTGTTAAAGTTGAAAATTTAAACATTTTAATGGCTATGTAACGACCCACTCCTGGTACCCCATTTGACCGTTGTTTTACTCTCTGAAATTTTTTTAATTACCTCTTAATTTTACTTTAGTTTAAATTCTATGCTTACTGCATTTGGCGTTATTCCTCTAGTAGTAGAAGTGATCGTCTAGTTAATTGATAATTTATATACCCACGTTGTGATAATGTTAATTAAGGTAAACCAGGATTCGATGCAAAGTTTGGTGCAAATTGATAAATAAAACCAGACAAATTTATATTTAAACTCTTTTATTTTTCATACTTTAAATGTGATGCAATAATTAGCAAAGTATATTACAATTGGTACTATTTACTGAGATCTCACTTAAGTTCCGTTCAAACGCAGATCACTTTCCTTTGCTATCAAGATATATTTTATTTAGGTTGATAACCAACGGAGTTAACGAACAGCGTCAATTCGTCAGTTGGTTAACTACTGTGTTGATGTTTATATTCTTATTTAGGTTGATGACCAACGGAGTTAACGAATAGCGCCAATTCGCCAGTTGGTTAACTACTGTGTTGATGTTGATTTGATTCTATTCTAGATATACACAGGTTGCACCCTAAATATTTCGACGAGTAAATAGGTGATGACCAACGGAAGTAATTGTGGGATCTTCTAAATGTTATTAATAATACTCTTCGTAATAATTGTATTCCATCAATAAATAAAAATGTACTTATAAAAGTATAATTTCGTATAATAAAATTCAATGTCATGAAACGTATATAAAAAATTAAAAAACCAAAAGTCATAATTATAAATAAACAATTCTTGTTTCCCTCCCAATGAGTTCAACCTTCTGTCTTGCTAGAACTGCCACGAAAGGTTGTCTAAATGATGACAATAATTTAATTCGTATGACGTAATAAAAATGATAAAGATATGTAGTGCATGTCGCTACATACCTTCAAAAAACCAAAAGTCATAATTATAAATAAACAATTCTTGTTTCCCTCCCAATGAGTTCAACCTTTTGTCTTGCTAGAACTGCCACGAAAGGTTGTCTAAATGATGACAACAATTTAATTCGTATGACGTAATAAAAATGATAAAGATATGTAGTGCATGTCGCTACAGTAATAAACAGCGCCGATTTGCCAGTTGGTTACCTTACTATGTTGGTTTCACATATACTTTGTTTCAAACCTAGTAGAATTGATGGCTTAGCATATACTGCGGTCCTAAAAATAGATGCCGTATCTACAAAAAGTCGGATTTTGAAGTTTTCGCATCAATAGGTTCGTGGCAAGCTAAATTAACTTCTTACCAAGTAGAAATGCCGTAAATGTTTCCGAAATATTAAAAATCCAACATAATTAGCCGCATCTGAATACTTTTACCGACTAAGGAAATAACTTTAAACCTCATTTTCACCGCTTGACGCTCTCAGTAGATACGGCATCTGTTTTTAGGACGGCAGTATAGGTGTCCTCCCTTGAGCTAACGAACAGTGTATTCACCAATTGCTTAACTTACTGTTAAATTTTACCATCTGTGATGTACAATTTATCCAAGATAGCACATCCCTATATATTTCTTAAATATTGATTTTTATAATTTCTATTGAAATGACTTAATACAACCTTGTACATTTCTTAATATTAGTTTTTATAATTTCTATTGAATTAACTTAAATTCACCCATCGAAAACAGATGTCTATCCTAACTGGTTTATTGGTTACATTGATAATATTTTAAAACAAATGTCAAGCCCTCGTCTAAACGACCCCGGTGGTATCTCAAAGAAAGTTACATTAATCTTTTGACTCACCATTGAAAATACAGACATTAAGATTCGTCTATACTAGACATGTACTAATTTCATCTTGTGACGGCGTCGATTTAGGTACGTCGCAGCGTTGAGAGTCGTCTTGCGTCGAGGCGCCTAGCGTCGAGGTGAAGAGGAAGGTATTTTATACGGTACTGCAATGGGATAGATATACGGTAGAAATATTTAGGTTGTGCGGGACGTGACGAAGGGTGTCGACAAGGATATTATGAAAGAAATATTTAGGGGCGGTGAGCGTCGGGAAATAAGGCATGGGACGTTGACAACTTTCGGGGGATAGAAGATATTGTAGGATAGACATCGTTTAGGAAGAGCTTTTTAGGAAAGGTACTGACTACTGAACTTGAAATATAACAAATAATATACAAATAATAAAATCAATGCTTACACATCAAATAATAAAAGTGAATAAATCCGAGCTCATTTGGGTTCGGGTTCATAAACCCGTTTTAATGACTTTTTGTGATGTCTCAGTTTCTCTTAGTTCCGTGTGAACGGGGTGGATAGAAAAGGGATGGTCGATTAATTACTTGCCTTAAAAAATTTGTGTATGAAAACAACGTTACTATTCAAACGCATTTAAGATAAGTCCGTTAAGTTTTTCTTGGGCTGGGTACCCAGACACGTGCATGAAATTTGGATCTCTTACGGACGTGGTTATAGATCATTTATTAGGTATCGTAAAAAAGATTTAATTTTAATTATCTGGGAAATTTTTCGTTAAATGAAGGATTTTGAATTTAATAAGAATGCACTATTATATTTAATAAATGGAATTAATAAATTATTAAGGTACCTTGGCGAGGTAGGTTACAACTATATAATTTTTTTATTTCCACTGGCAAAACAATCAGTTAAATAAACTTTGCCAGTGGCGTACGGCGTGGATAAGTAACATCTACATGCCCTCTAAATTTTACGCCACTGTTCAAAAACTTATTTGGACTACACTTTTCCATTTTTTTTTTTTTTTTTTTTTTTTTTTTTTTTTTTTTTTTTATAAATCATGTACTTTTGGTGGGACCTCATAAAGTGATTGTTTTTCCAGATATTCATACTCAAATGTAGATATTCTTCATTTTAATTTATTTTTTAATTTTTGATTTTTTATAAAATTATACTGCGCGATCGTTTTTGGTACCATAAGATACACCTATCATCAAAAAAATCAGTTAAATAAACTTTGCCAGTGAGGTACGGCAAGGATAAATAACACCTTCATCCTTCATCTCTTCTAAATTTTACTGTACTGTTGAGAATTTATAAAAAAACTCAAAAATTATAAAATTATCATATCCACATTTGAGTGAGAATATCTAGAAAACCAATCACTTTATGATTTCTCAATTCGAGTACATGATTTGATGACTTAAAAAACATTAAAAATGTTAAAGTATGATTAGTCCAAATAAGGTTTTGGACAGTAGCGTAAAATTCAGAGGGGATGAAGGTATTACTTATCCGTGCCGAACGCCACTGGTAAAGTTTATTTAAGTGACTGTTTTCTGATTGGTGTATCTTGTGACACGAAAAATGTTTAACTTTAACACTGTGGAAAAACTTCAATAAAAAAATAAGAATTTTTTAAACACCATTTTTATAATATCACAATGACAACTTATTTTTAAAACGACTTGATAAAACAATATAAATATACAGGGTCGAACAGAACTACAACATATAAACGACGTACATCTTTCCCAGCTAGCACATAACGTTGCCAAGCCTTTCGGCGATGTTGCATTAAGGGAACGTAATAACATTACTATACAACGTAAATGCAACGTTCATGAGAAGTTGTTGAGGGAAATCAAAACCTTGCAAAACTTCTATTTGTTAATTACCTAGTTAACTTACCTGTTATGTTAACACAATGTAATAAAGTAATTTGCTAAAATAGTATCCACGAAAAGTACCGTGAACATGACAATTCTAAATGTTTATGTTTATGTCGATTGTCACTTGTCAGTTTTTCTTGTTATTTATCTTGTTTTTTTGAGGGTTTATTTTTTAACTTCCAGAATTTATTTTATAAATAATTATTAGTTATACATTCAAGTAGATTTGGTAAGGGTCCTCTATACAATAGAAAACTATTTTCTAAACCATTGTCTTTGTTTCAGATTACAATGCCTGATGTAAATTTATTATTTCAATCATTAGGTATACAAAATGGTTTAACTACAATAAAAACAA